TTCCTCAAAGAAGAATCTTATTTTGCTGATACCAAGTTTTAAAGATGATGCAAATGATGATCACCCAATTATTACAATTCCATCTTATCAACGTATTACAGATACATCAAAATTTGCTTGTGAAGGATTATCTAAAGGCAAACAACATCAAATAACACCATGTGTTATGGTAATGAGACAAGCATCGACTATTCTAATACCCAACCTTCCCAAATTATTTCTGCCCCATCAACTCATTACAACTCCAGAGATTAGCAAAGTGGAGCATAGAGACATTCTCAATTTTGATACAATGGCCACAGGAGAATCTAAGTCTACTTCATAAGCCTCGACATTTGCTCCAAAATATGTTAGATGCTAAAGGAGGAGAAGAGTTAAAATAGACTTTCAAATGATGTAACAATTCTCAATTCAAAAAGATAATAGGGAAATGTTGAATTTGGGAAAAGAGAATCTCACAAACTGGGTGATCTTGATGTCGTTTTCTCAGGTGGGCGTGCCCATTCAAATTTATGTTATTCGCACAAAACGTCCATATGTTTGAAATTTATTGTGCAAAACGTTCATACTTTCCATTTTTCACATTTTTCACCCCTATTTACACATTTTATTGCGGAAATGATCATTTCCATTTATTTTCATCAAATTTCTCAATAAAAAGTTGTGAAATTACGAATATACCATTATATTTAAATAAAAAAAATAGAAGAAAAATAAAGAACTAATTGCAAACATACTGCCATTTAAAAAAAAAAAAGTACAAACGAGTCCCAAATAAATTATTAAATAATAAGAAATTAAAAAAAATGTTATTTTAATTTAAATTTGATGGTATATTCATTATTTCACAATTCTTTATTAAGAAATTGAATTAAAATGATGGTTTGCGCAATCAAATGTGTAATTAATGGTGAAAATGTAAAAAAAAGAAAGGTAGGGACGTTTTTCGTAATAACCGGGAAATGTTGGGATATTATGTATTAATTAATCTTTTCATAATTTATTTGACTCATTTGTGCTTTTTAAAAAAATTTGGAACTATATTTGCAATTGATTTTTCTTTTCTTTTTTTGTTTTATTTAAAGAAAATAATATATTCGTCATTACACAATTGTTAATTGAGAAAATAAATTAAAATGACATTTTGCGCAATGAAATGTGAAAATAATGATGAAAATATCAAAAAATGAAAGGTAGAAACGTTTTCCATAATAAAAATGAAATGTGTCATTTTTAATTTCTAAATCCTGTAAAAAAAGGTAAATTCTCTCATGTTCAAGTTCAGGTGGGCCCGACCCGTTAAGATAGGCCCAAGAGCATGTAGCGTGTCATGTTTTGTGAAAACTTTAGGCCCGTCATGGCCCTGGCTTTCTCCTGGTTTCCATTTTCCTTATTCATAAAGGGAGTTATCCATAATTATAAGAAAACTGAGGGGGCAATTGAGGTATTATAACTCTGATCGCATTGCTAACCCTAGATATATATTTCGAGGATCACCAATCGTTTCTCTTCCACCTTTCCACTTCCGACTGCTAGGGTTTTGTCGAACTTCAGAAACAGCTAATCTCTATTGCTTGCATATCCCTAAGCCATGGTTAGTATGGGAATTTCTCCATTGATTCATATTATTTTGTATTGATTAACTATCAATTATATATTTTTGGTTACAAAATCATATTCATTGATAGAATGCTTCAGAAGGAAGTCCATTTTTGTAGCTCTTGTGGTGATTTGAATGTGATACCATATCGGTTATGCGTATTTATAATTTGAGATGAAAATGTCAGATGATAGTTTGAGACATGCTTCTCATTACTGATTCGAATGGAATCAGCAGGACCTGGCGAACAAATTCTTGATGGGAATCATCATCTTTATAATGCTTTGTTTTAGTGGTTACATCTCCTGGTTTTCCTTGGCTTCTTAATTTAATTTAATTTAATTTTTTAATATAAATCAATGCACAAAATGTTACATTATATCATCTTTCAAAAAGCTAATCTTGAGCCTAAAGAAGTCAATAAGTTTAAAGAAAACGTGAATTTATGTTTGAAATGTGTCTTACGATGGTGACACTGATTTTTTATTGCAAGTATCTTTTAGCAATTGTGTATTGAACCTAATGTCTATCCCAAATTTTTATTATCTTTTTCCGGGATTAACAGTCGAGGAGAAAGACCAGAGAGCCCAAGGAAGAGAATGTTACCCTTGGACCTGCTACCAGGGATGGGGAAATTGTTTTTGGTGTTGCCCACATCTTTGCCTCCTTTAACGACACCTTCATTGTGAGTAATCATTCTTGATTTTTTGTGTTTGATGATCCTTTGAGAAGTTAAGAAAAGAAAGCAATTGAACTTTGTAGCATGACTTAAGGTTACTAATGCATTTTTTATGCAGCATGTGACCGATTTGTCCGGTAGGGAAACGATGGTTCGCATTACCGGTATGTACTATTGCTCAAGGTTTCAATGCAGATTTTATGATTGCATTGATAATTAATCTACAACACATTTCTTAGTGTATGGCTCTGTTCTGTATGGACCTTGTGTTAGTTCAAGAGTAGTAATGTGACTGCAGATGTCTATTTGTGGGTGTTGTGTACTTGAACAATTTTTCAAGTTCTTGTCATTTTGGTTGATGGAAATATGATCTGCCATTTATATTAGCTTATGAATTAAGAAGAAAATTGTAGTTTTAGCTAAGTACTGGTGATAATAACTTCACTTGATTTTTTAATTGTTTCCGACTTGGATATTTCATTAACTCTGTATTAGAGGGAGTGTGTCAAAGAAAATTCTTTTCTGAATGAAACTTAGTTAGGGCCTTGTGGGCGATTCCATGCATGTAGTACTGATGTCTATTTGTTGTAGATGATGAATAACAACTAATACTGTTTGGCATGCATAGTTTTCTTGCTATCTTTATATGACATGAAATCCAATGCTGTTGTCGTGAAGTTGATTTCTGTGTTACTTCTCTTTTCTTTCTGTATTTTTTCAATTCTTTTACTCAAGTTTGTACCTCATGAGCATTGGAAATCAGATCCAGTTTGTGCTTCAGCATGCCTAAATTGCTTTTGTAATATGCAATCACCCTTCTGATTCCAGGTGGTATGAAGGTGAAGGCTGATAGGGATGAATCTTCCCCATATGCTGCTATGCTTGCAGCACAAGACGTCTCTCAAAGATGCAAGGTGAAAAACCGTTGTCTACTAAAATTGATGCATTATAATGGAGGGTTGAATTTGTCCCGTATTTCATCTATGCTCATGTTTTGTTGTAGCATGTATTTATCATCTTAAAGAGTTTTGTCACAGGGCGATGAAATGAAATATTAAATTTTTGTGATCGTTGAAATTTGCAGGATCTGGGCATTAATGCTCTTCATATTAAGCTTCGTGCAACTGGAGGGAACAAGACAAAGACCCCTGGCCCTGGTGCCCAGTCTGCGCTTAGAGCCCTTGCTCGTTCTGGAATGAAAATTGGTCGTATAGGTATTAAATTCCCAAAATTTGTTGGGCTCTTAAATAACTAATTGTTGACATAATTTGCACTCACATGACATTGACCTTTGTTTGAATCCATTATGTGCTGAGTTTGCCAATTTATTGTTAATGATGGATATTATTATTATTATTTTTTATGTGTAAATTAAAATTCTTTTTTTGAATAAAATGAGATATGCACTTTCATCCTTGTCACACTTGAATTGATGTCCAAAATTATCTTCCTCTCACCACTTACATTTCATTTTCTACTTTTACTGTCAATTTTTTTTTATTAAAATGACTTAACTGTTTGTATTATCTACTCTCATTTCAGAGGACGTGACTCCAATTCCCACGGACAGCACTCGTAGAAAGGGTGGCAGAAGGGGAAGAAGGCTGTGATTTTTCCTTGTGGGCAATCGTACTTGCTGGTTTTGGTGGGACTTAACTAGTCGCAAGTTTATTATTCTCATTTTGCGTATTTTTGAAGTATGTAGTTTAAACACAAGTTTTGTTGTCAAATTATGAGAATGATTTTACTGGATTACAAGCCAAATACCATTTGACTTTTATTTATCATCCGATCGGTTTTTTTGATGGTGTTAGTTATTTGTTGTGATGTTATCTCAGTTGCATTTACATGTTTTGGTAATTTCCTGGATTTGAAAGCAGCATTGGATCATTACCTTTCTGTTGCTCTAATATTCTATAGATACAAGGATCCTTGCATCAATTACAACTGTTCAAATTTTGTCTTGGTCCAACTGAATTGTGTGGAACCTGTTTTTGGAAGCAATGTTTTATAACTACTAAATTTGTACTCGTTTATTCCCCGATAGAATTGCCGCAGTTCGACTGTGTGTTAGTTTCATTCACTAGCATTTGATTTTCATAGTTGGCAATTTTAGTTGTCTAACTTTTGTCAACTTATGGAGCGAATTGTAATATTATTGGGATTTTTCATGTAGAAGTAGGCAAAATAGTTTGGGATTTCACGCAGTTGATTTTATGATTTATACCCAACACGACCATATAAGCTAGTATGCCAAAACAATGTACAAAATTATGCTTGTAACAGGCATTGTGGCTTATGGCTCGTCATCTTGTGCCTCGACTGAGTAGGGCCACACCCTAAGAACTAAGGCTAACTCGAAGTACCAGCATAGCATGTTCATCTTACATCCCTTGTTGGGCATAATTCTTAAAGCATGCCAATGGACATTAGGGCTAGAACTTACAGCTGATGAACATGGGTAGATTATCATCCCATATCCAAATATTAGCTGTTAATGCTAGTAGGCAAGTAGTAAATGAGTTTCTGCGTTTATCTATCCTTCTGGACAAATAAGCAGAATCAATCACTTCAAATCCACAATGACATTCATTTATCTTCTGGAGAAGTACAGACCACAGCAGGGGAAAACAGAAGGAAACTTGGAACCAAAAATGGAGAATTAATGGGTAGAAAAGCTTAGGCAAAACAACTACACATAACACAAGTCCATTCTCCTTTTCACAGTTTCAGCTTTTCTACTAGAGATTTACTATCAAGTCCTTTACTGTAGAAGTTCTCTACGTATTCTTGCTTTGAGAACATACGATACTGAGCTGGTTTCTCAGGTGTAATCAACTCTGGCAGTGGTCCGTAGTGATTGGATTCATCCCAATTGCCAACGTCAAACCAATGAACAATTGAAATCCGTGGTTCCTTGTGCGAATTAGCCTTAACACGATGCTGCACACTTTTGTACTCGCCATTGGAGACAATCTGAAAAAGGAAACCCTTTTTACCATTTGTCTCGATATGTATCATGATTTCGATTAATGGATTTCTTGACATGAGAAATCAAGAAAAAAAGATTAAATTACCTGGAGGAAGTCACCAATATTGATGATTAATCCACCTCGAAGAGGCTTTACATCTACCCATTTCTCCTCATGCTTCACTTGCAATCCTGGAACTTGATTAGGCAATAAAATTGTCATGACCCCAGGATCAGTATGATCCGAAAGTCCCACTGTCAAGTCGGGTTGAGGGCAATACGGGTAGAACATCCCTCCAAATATCCTAGTCTCCAAGAGGGATGATTCCTTGAGCTTTCTTGAATCCAGTCCCAATCCTTCTGCTAATAACTCCCCCACAATGTTCCCCAACTCAGCCGCGTTCTTGTCCCATTCTACCTGTCCATTAAATTTTGAGTAAATAAAAAATGTCCTCGGCAATAGTTTATATGGTTCAACATTATATTGGAACGAGTTGTCTAAAAGTTGTGCACATGGGTGTGTGTCCAAGATTTAATTCAAAACGAGACATTTGATAAAATAATGAATTTGACATGTACACGAAGGATGTGTTGAAGACAAAATTTGGATGAACTTTTAGACGGGATAGTTCAACATTACCAGCTCGTTGCGGTATATATCAGGTATTTGATCAATCTGTGGCGCTGCAGGCGCCATCCAGACAGAAACATAGTCATGCCATGTAGCAACTTTGGACTGGAACAAGTCATAGTTGCTAGAATAAGTTACTCCACTTTGCCCTTGACGCACATAATACTTCGCCTTCAACTCATGAGGTTGCTCATGGAATGACTTTATAGCAGCAGTTATTTCATCAAGAACAGACAACGGTATGCAATGGTTTATAACTTGGAAGAAGCCCCAAGTATTTGCTGCTGCTCGAACTTGTTCAACAATTATAAGCCGATGATCAGCCGAGTTTACGTTAGAAAGATCGATTATGGGAATTCCAGAAGATGTGGATGTTGATTTAAGGTCAGAGATTTTTTCCTGTGGATGAATGAAGATACGAGGAATGGTTGTTATACCGGAATCTGATAGGCCTTTGACGCCGATTTTGGCTTCATCAAATTCCTTCACTTCTTGCAGACGATCATATGATGGTGGTGCAGCCATGACAACCTCCATTTCCGCCTTGTAAGAGTTTTGGTGTTCTGTTAATTTGTCATAGTTTCTTAGTAGGCCTGTGCTCTTTATACACAGTAGATCTGATATCAGCACAAACTATACCTATGTTTGCCCTCTATTTTTTCAAACTCATTTTCAACCACACATTCTCCTATAAAATAATTTTATACGCAAACCCAAAAATTTTTTTCGTACTTTTTAACCATATATTCTCTAACAAAACACTATTTTAAAGTGCATTTTGACAAAAAAATGGGCTCTCTTCTTTAACTTAAGTTTTAGCATTATTCTAAAATTTAAAACAATGTTGACAAACTCTATGTTGGTGCAACCAATGGACACAAAAACATGCACGCGAGTTGAAGCAATTCAACGTACGAGCGTATGTAATAGACACGCTGTATAGTTGAATAGACATACCTAATTGAAGAAAAATTAAGGTCCATTTGGCACGACTTTTGAAAGTCAATGAATTTTTGAGACTCAAAATTTGATTTTGGACTCGTTTGATTAATGTCATGAAAGTGTTTCTTTTATTTAGAAGTGTTTTTAAAGGAAGTTGATCTAATGTAACTTTATCTAAAAGCACTTTCGGAAGAAGAAGCCATTTTAAAAATTAGTTTTTAGACAAAAATTAAGGTAATATCTTTCCAAAATTTTTCTATAGAAAGTAAAAATTAAAGCCATGTCAAACGGCTCTAAACTTAGTATTCATTACAATTCTTGTTCCATTTCCGCACTAGTTGTAGATGCTAAGTGATTCCCGATTTCTTTATATTATCGTTGCATCAAACCTAATGTAAGGACAAGAAAAAATTGGCCGGCAGGCATTATAGAAGACAGTTATATAATGATAAAATGCTAAACGCGATTCCTATTCTGACATTGACAATTAGTTTTATTGTTGTTTTATTCATAAATTAAATTTGTGTATTAGTAAGGGACAAGGCAGAATATGGAGTCTTTGCTTGGGTCTACAATGGGAATCAAATCCCCGTTATTTTTTGCTCTCTGATTGGAAAACATAGATCTTATTATTATTAGATTGACATCATTAAGTTGACTTTTTTAATTAAATATCATCTGATGGTGCATTTATTGAAATAAAAACAGGTAAAAAAACAGAACAATCCCGCTACGCGTACCCGGTTCCTTACACGGTGATGTGGCAACCCAGCCCAAAACGTTGACCAGGCCCAAAATTAAAAAAGCCCCAAATCAAGTAGCCCTTAATCAGTTCCCCTTCCCCAAATCTTTGTGAAGTGCGAGAAACCCATTGAAACCCTTGACGAAATCTCCTTCAAAATTGAGAACCCATATCAGTCCCACAATTCTTCAGATCCATCGACGGCGATGGAAACAATAGCCAAGAAATCTAATAACCCATATCACTGAAAATCCCCTAAATCTTGAGTACCCGAAATCCCCCAAAAATTGCTAACGGATGGGAAGGGTACCTCCAAAATCTGAAAACCATGGAAGGCGAGCGTAAACTATATCAAGCGTCTCTACGTTTGGTCGAAGGCTTGTTTGGGTTGTTGAAGCTGAAGGCTAAAATCTCCAACGAAGTTAGCAGGTTTCGAAATTCTATTTGCTCATTATGATTTGAATAAATATGTGTATTGATTACTAATATGTTGGTTGAAAACCAAATTTGTATTTTAATTTCATCTTCATTTCGAAGTTAGCAGGTTTTGAAATTTTATTTGCTCATTATGATTTGAAATGTTATGTGTGTTAGAATGACAGGAAAGAATGCTGGAATATGCCATAGCTGGAATGTAGTATTGTGCTTGTTGGTGTGCCTGAGCAATATGTGCATCGTCTCCCATTTGACATGGGGGTGCCTACATTTTCCTCCCCTTGCCCGAACTCCTATTTGTTAGCCCAATAATAAATAACCAAGAGAGGAGTGAATTGGTTNAAGAATAACTAACCAAGAGGGGGGGCGGGGGGGGGGGGGGGGGGGTAAATTGGTTTTTAGAACTTTTTCTAAGAATTAATCTAAATTCAAGCAAGTAAAGACTAAATAGATTAATTCAAATAGTAACCACAAATATAAAAGCGATAAGTAAAAGGAAGAAATGATGCAAATGATATATTTGTGGAGGTTCGATCCAAAGCAATGATCTACGTCCTCCGTTACCAAGCTCTCCGCCACGAGCAAGGTCTTTCCACTATATTGATTAACTTATGGTGCAATCCAACCATTTACAACGCTTCTGGTGACTTACAAACAAGGAGTATCAATCCTTATACAATGTTGAACTTTACGGGACCTCAACAAGACCCACACTATTGAGCTTTATGTGACCTCAATATGACCTACACGGTGGCTTACAACAAGGAGCACCGATCCTTATACAATGTTGATCTTTAAAGGATTTCAACACGACCCACACTTTATCAAAATGATTTTACAATGAAATTTCTCTCTTGATAAATGATACAAACAAATTAAGTACTAAGAGATGTAACACTTCAATGAATTACTAGGGGTGTTCAAAAGTCCCGAACCGAACCGGACCGAACCGAACCGAACCCGAACCGAACCGAGCGGTTCTTCATAAATTAAATACCCGAACGGGTACCCGAATCGAGAACCGATGGGTTTGGGTCGGGTCTCGGGTCTAGACCAAGAACCGAAGAACCGAACAAGAACCGAAACTAAATAATTTTTTTATTTTTTATATTGAATTAATTAAATTATTTTATTTTTTTC